ACACACACACACACACACACACATATATATATATATATATATATATATATATATATATATATATATATATATATATATACATTTACCCAGATACGCATTCGTAAAACATACATTGCCGTTCGTTTCTTTTTGCTGAGTTTCTGGATCTCAAACCTCACCCCCTTCTTCAGTATGCTCGTCATAACCTTTGTGTCGTGATGTTCCAATTGTGCCCGTTTCAATTCCAAGAGTTGTTTAAGTTCCAATTTTGCCACTCTACTTGCCTTCTTGTTCTTCGGCTTTTGTTTACCTCTTACCGCCGCATTACATCGCTTGATGGTGGGGTTTACACCTGTCTGTGCCTTCAACACCCCTATTTTGAAGTTCACATTCTCTCTATGTTTCCTAGAAATATCCTTTTCGTCAACTAGAGGCACAGCTATAGTGGTAGCCGCAGGTGTGCTTGCTGGTTCTGAGGATGGCATGCTGGTGATATCTTAACTAATGTATATGTGTATGTATATATATATTATGATGCTCGAAAAGAAGCGCGTATAAGTCGTTCGGATTCACTCTATATCGCTTCAGTTATCTATATCACAGATAGGCGCCTGTTGTATATATTGAAGTGCATATCACACAAGAGAATGTTATTAAAATATTATAATAGCCACGTGAATACAAATCATAGAGATAAGTATGTGCCTGTTGGGTACTGGGCATGTAGACTTTCGGGCTTTCGGCCCCCCTCTTTCTGTGGGGGTGAATTCGAAACCCAAAATCAAAGGTTTATGACTGATACCATAACTATAAACCAGGTTTATTTGTACTCAATTCTGTCGACTTGAACGAAAAGGTTGTGAAAACAGGTATTTGCGACGTGTGTAATGAACCAAATGTCTGAATTCTCTGTGAAAGTAGGGAGAAAGTAATTTACAACAAATAGAAATGTCACTATTGTTTTTAATTTATTACGAAATACAGAGAGAGATCAGAGTATGGATGTATCTGCAACTCCTCTATTTATTTTTTACAAACCCCACAAACAGCTACAAATATAAGATAAACAAAATTATGGGTATTTCCAGATACGAGAGATGGAATGTAGGTCACTATTTTGAACAAAGTAGACATTTATAACATTCTACCGTATATAGTTCAAAGTAGACTATATCGCACCATTCGCGAGCAACATATCATCTATTTCATATAGCCTTCGGCGACTAACAGAGTATACAAGCACGCACATACGCTGACTATTCGAGTTGGTCGTTGTAGACAGCACCATCTTGACGAGTGGGTGGGTGTGTGAGCGAGTATTCCAGCACTTGCTCGACGCTCGTAAGTACGAGAACATCGGCCATAAATTACATATACATACAGTACGGTTACTGCGAACGTAAACATATACGATGAAGGTGAAGGAAGCCCAACGCACCGCCAATGTGGCGTGGTCTTCAGCCAAGCAGGAGCGGTATGTCATTTGGGACGGGGACGAGGGTAGACGTGATGGCTGTAGACATTCACACACACACACACACACACGCACACATTTATATATATATATATATATATATAT